CCGGGTGTGCTGCCCCTGTCCCGGGTGTGCTGCCCCTGTCCCGGGTGGGGCTGTGCTGATGTTGTGTCTCCGCAGCCTCCACGGCGTTCCTGGCCGACAGCCAGCCCCCCAACCGCAAGGCGCTCGTCGTCTACCCCATCTTCCTCTTCTACTTCGTCATCAGCTGGATGATCCTCACCTTCACCCCTCAGTGAGCCCCATCCCAAGGGACTGGGACACGGACTGGAGTTTTTCATGGACGCTGCAGTGAATCCTTGGCTTTATCTCTTTCTAATTTATATATAGGGATACTGTAAAAAGGCAGGTTGTGGGATAAAGCCAGAGAGCTGCAAAAAGTGCTCGTTTGTGTGTCCCTCTTTGTGAAAGGTACCGAGGTCCAGCTACTGAGGGGTTTATTTAGCCCTGCTCTGTACTGGTGTTAAATAAACAGTGCCCACTGGAACTGAGGACAGAGCAGGAGATCCCGGAATTCCAAGCTGTTGGGAGATGAAGTTACAGGATCACACTACTTGGCAGAGTTCGTGCCTGTGCTTGGATTCTCACTGAAGATGAAAATGCCTTATCAAACTGTAGAACTTCACTGCTATGATGTGTGGAGAGGGAAAAGACGTGTCTGACTCCTTTCATTCCCTTTGGAGTGGTGGGATGTGCACGTGGGCATCGTGGACCAGGGGCTTTCCTGGGAAGCAGGAGTTCAGCAAAACCCAGTTGAGTCTCTTTGCAGTGAATTGGAGCTGGTGGCAGGGAGTTGCCTTTGCCCATATCTGTGTGCTGTGTGTGTTCATCCCTTCATGTGGCAGGGGAGAGGGTTCCAGCCTGATGCCTTCAGCACTGTCTGACCCTGGCCCTGTGTCTGTGAGGGGTGTGGGCTCAGAGAGGTGTGGCCCTGTGACCACAGGGGCCAGCTTGGAGTCCTGCAGAAACACTCAGAACTGGTTTGGAACTGGTTTATAACAGGGACTGGGCTCTCACTCTGCATTTGGGAAGGGAGAATTCCCTGGAGAGCACCAAGAGTGTGTATATATGATACAAGCAAGGGGTTCTGTGCTGTAAATTGAGGTTTTGCTGCACAGGCTGTTTGGTGCTGACAAACCACACCAGGGTTTGGGCCCCAAAGTTTTAGACAGGTTGAAGGAAGGAGAGTAAATGGTGCTGAAGGTGGAGGCTGCTGTGGAGCAGGACATGGATTCTACTCTTGCCTGCCTCTGTGTGTGACTGTTCCTTTGGATGTTACAGGGACAGCAACAGAAATGTGAGCAAATGTGCATTTTGTTCCCTTGTACTTGCCCTGAGATGTTGGACACTGTTTTGTGGGGCTTTTGTTTTGCTTAACACTTTTGTAAGAGGGAAGAGGTTTCTTTCTCCTGTCCCTGCAGGTGCTTTTCATACCTCACCTGGAGAACCACAGGTGGGCAAGGGTTGGGTGTATTTTGGCACAGGGATGAGAGCTGGGATCTGCTTGTGGAAACTGTACAGAAATGGTTCCTGTTGTCCATTGTTCTCAGTCAGCAATCCAGGGGAGAGCTTCGAAACATCTGGGGTGAAAAAGCTGCTGTAAAATGTCCTTTTTCCTACAGTTGTGCAGATAGACTAAACCTGAGGTCTGTGGGTCCTGCTGAGGTGTGAATGTTCCTAATTTATAGTTCTGTATACAATAGCAGTCTGTGCTGTAAACACTGCTAGTGTTGGGGGTTGGGATGGAGATCTCTAAATTGCAGATTAAAAGTGCATTTTTGCATTTGGGGATAATGAACTGCTGTGTGTGACAGGGCCTGGCTGTGGCACCAAGGGGCTGGAGAGGAGCTATAGGGGTTCATCGACATGGGGACCATGGAAATGGGGAATTTTTAAGGTTCCATTAAATTATTACTGGTATGGAATGTGGTTTTTATTCTAAGTGTGCAATTTTTTGTTAATTTAAGAGTTAGTTCAGCTTTATAAAGCTGAAAAAAAATACTCAAGGGAAGTGGATAGTAAAGCTGTTGATGGCTACAGTGGAATTCCTTGAGCCAAATCTTTCTTTCCTACAAGAACTCAACCGCACTTGCAGAGAAATCCTTGGGTTCTGTCTCTGTAGTGTCTTGTGACTTAAGCTGCTGCTCTAGCTGAAGGATAATTGGAGTAACATTTAACTGATCCAGAAATATTTTGAAAGGAAGGAAAATGATTTTTCAGGGGAGTTAAAATCCCAACTTTTTCCTTGTTTTTGGCTTGGATCTGGGTCTCACAGTGATTTGTTCTATATCGACACTCTTGGCTTATACAAGAGAATAAAATTGTTCTTACATTAACTTGCTTTACTTTTCAGCTGGTCACTGAGTTTTTCAGTCAAGAACTGTTTTTAATCTGCAAGAACAGGCAGAAGTAACCTGGTTATAGGGGAAGGAGTGATTTTGGTTTGGTGTTTGGCTCATGGCAATCCCCCTTTGGCATGGCAGCCATCGCCTCCTAAAGCTGTGACACCTCCAGGAGGGTTTGTGTCACTGGAGGTGTCACCTCTCTGTGGGTTTGAGCTGGCAGCAGTTGGGAAGGAAACCAGACTTTCTGGATTTTCATGACTCCAGTTGATGTTATAACTGGTTCTGGAAGAGCTGTGGAGTAGCTTGGCCTTTCCACTCGGAGATCGCGATTATTGGAGCCCTTTTTGTGAGTGGAATATAACGGCACAGAGAGATGGAGTGAGGAGCACCAGTGGGAATGACTGGAGAGGAACTGTCTTAGGTGACTTCAGGAAATCAAGAAGCCCAAACTGGGATTTGTTCCTCAGCCACCCGTGGTTGTCCTGCAGAGCCCCCACTGTGACAGAACCACCTCTTCCTTGGTGGGTGGGCGATGCCAAAGCCAACAGGCCTCGGGCACGTTAAATACAACCAAAACAGTTCAGTTCAGGCAAGCCAAATGCCTGGAGATTTGCAGATGCCTGCAGTTAATGCTGGTAGTGCTTTAAAGTACTGGTGTTACCTCAGAGTGCTGAGTGTCCCCTGAATGTCCCTTGTCCTGTCCAGGTGTACAGCCATCCCTCCCCAAGGGCTGTGCAGGTGAGTGATCCCTGGGACCGCAACAGAGGTTTAGCTTGTGCTGGAAATGTCTGTGGTAACAACTGCTGTACTTTCCAGGGGGAAAGAAAAGCAGGGGGAAGCAGCTGTGTTGCCTTTAATGAAGTGTTTGAACTGTTCCGCAGAGAAGCAGCTGATTTTTTGATGTACAAACCAGGCTTGCTTTCCTACTAGGATTTTTCTAATACTGTTTATCAGCAGAAATTGTTGTATGTGTTTAATTTTGATCTATGTAATACCAATAAAAAGAAAATTTGTTTTTAACTTTAAAATTTGCAAATTCAAGCGGGCTGAAGGTGCAGTGGGCAGTGTGATGTGTGGATGGAAGCTCTGTGCTCTCTGTGCTCTCTGTGCCTGTGGTACCTGCGCGAGGTGAGGGACAGCCTGTCCCACGGCAGCTCCCTGGGCCCAGCTGAGGCAGGAGGGGGAAGCTCCCCAGTCCCTGCACTCATGTCCCCCTGGCCCCAAAGGGACAGCAGGACATGGCCACGTGTGCCAGAGCCCCCGGGGCTGAGCCAGGACACAGCCCTGCTCGGGCTCAGATCTCGCCAGTGCTCCCAGCTGGTCACAGACAGCTTGGGGCAGGAGCAGCGGTGCTGGTGTGCCCCAGAATTGGGGGTCAGGTGGCTTCAGGGCCAGGAGGTCCTGGGAACCACACCAGGGACCTGAGTGTGCCCCAGCAGCACTGGCCAGGGCTCAGTGTGCCGGGGGCTGACTGAGGTGGGGGGAAAGGGGGAACAGAGACATGGTAAGATGGTGCCTCATGAATGAATGGATATTAAACCCCGTCTCTGAGTGCCTAATGAACGATAGGCAACTAACCCCAGCCCTGACCTGGCTAATGAACCAATGGCAATTAACCCCTTCCCTGTCCTGCACTGGGATTTGAGGCAATGGCCAGGACTGTGTCCATGCTCTGCACTGGGGATGCAGAGTGGGTGACGGTCATTTGGGTGACAGTGGGGACAGCCACAGCCATGGCTGGTGAGCCTTGGCTCGGGTCTGGTGGCAGCAAGGCCCGATGGTCACAAGAGGGCAGCAGGACCGCGCCGTCCCTGACCGCCTTTTGTAGCTCGGTTCTTCCCCCGCCTTGGTTTCCGGCTCCACCGGGGTTGCTCCGGGATGCACAGCCGGGGTTTTCGGGTCCCGCAACCAGGACGGGGCTGGCGGGCAGCCACGGGAGGTGAGCTGAGTGTTGCCAGCCTCGGCCCTTGCTGCGGTGAGTTACCAAATTGGGGCAAGAAGATACTTTCATTCAACAGGGGGCATTTTTTTTTAAAAAAGGCAATTTACTGGGCTGGAAATGCAACTCTTCCACTCAAAAGAGCCGTTCCCAGATGCAGCTCCATGGTTTGTAGTTACACTTTATTTGGATAAAGCTTGGATTTAGCATTTTTTTCCCCCAAGCTAATTTTTTAAGGCAAATATACTGTGTGCTGGATTGTAACTTAGGGTAAATGAATGGGGCAGGTGACAGTGGAAGGAAGGACTTTCCCAGTAAAATCAGGGAGCAACTCATCCAGCGAAGCTGTTGACTGACCCCTGGCACGGTGAACCCGTGAGCCCCGACCTTTGGCTTTCCTGGCAGGATCGATGACATGGCTGTGGGAGCTGGAAGTCAGGCCGGAGGCTGCTGAGTCTCCACATCGCAGGTACTCGGCACAGGGGGCGCAGGCAGCGAGGGGTGGGACGGGCACGCTGTGCCCAGCACGGGGGGTTCCTCAGTGGAGACACGGGGAGAGCGTCACTGGGGGCAGGTGGGACAGGGAGCCCAACACCCGGGGCTGCTGCTGGCACAGGCTGAGGGTCACTGTGTTGCTCTGCTGTCAGGGGGCAATGCTTGTGTTGCAGGGGAGGGGTCCCTGAGAGAGAGAAGTGCAAGCTTGCTGTAGATTTGTTCCCAGCCCTAGTTGGAACAGAAAACAATAAGGGCACTTCCTGATGCAGGTTTGCTGTTTCCACCCCTGTTACTCTTCCTGACCCTTGTCCCTCTATCCACGTTCAAGGGAAGGGAACAAAGTGTTGTTTGGGGTGTCACGGCCTCCCCGTGCCTGGTACCTCGGCACATCTGCATTCTGAGCCCTCTGTGGCTCAGAAGCTGCTGTTTGTGCTGTGGATGGAGGTGAGGGAGCATCAGTGGGAGCCTCGGGCACAGCGAGGCACAGCGGGAGGGCTCCTGCCACACAGTGCTCCATTGTCCCTGTGCCGCTGGCGCTGGGGGATGAGCTGCCCCAGTGCTGCCGTGCCCAGGGTGGGAGCAGATGGAGGGATCCCCTGTCTTGGCTGAACTCCTCCTGCTTGTGCAGAGGGCTCGGCCCCAGCTCCTCCCGAGGGTCCGGGGGCAGCGTCTCCTGCCCTGAGACACACCTCAGACAGCACCTGGCTAAAATCCATGCACATGAGCCCCCTCCAAACCCCACCTCTTCCCCCAGTGCTGCATTGCTGGCAGTGGAAAGAGCATGATGTGAAGCACAAGATCCTCTGAAGGGCTAAAAGGAGTTTGGTATTTTAAAAGAGAAATGAAGAATACAAACCCAGCTGGCTGAGCTGAACAGCCTGTGCTGTGAGTCCACATGTTCCAGTGAGGAGAGCATGGACATTCCTCAAATAAGGGCCATTACATCCCTTTCTAATCAAATGGGATGGAAAGGAAAATGGGAAAAGCAAACTAAATGTCATCTCCTGGGTGGTTCTTGCTAAGAAGTTATGGTTTTGTGTTGCCAGCATTGCCAGCAGTGGGGGTTCCATCCATGGACGATGGACACAAGGAGTGCTGAGCACCAAGAAGAGCCACTGGTGTCTCCAGGCCAGTGGGGTGAGCTCCCGACCCTGCACTTTTCCTCATCAGCTGAAGATGAGGAAGGTGAGGCAGCTGTCTGTGGCTTCTTCTGTCCAAGGAGCAGCGAGTGCAGTCCTGAGGATGAACCTGACTCTGCATTGATCCATGACAACTCCGCGCCCTTCCTGTGGGGATCTTTTTCCCGGAGAACTGGAAGGCACTGGCCAAGATTTTTCAGCCTCACAGAGAGTCCTGCAGGGCACGGCGGGGATGCTACAGGCAAGAATAAACTTTTCAGCAGTAGTGAATTGTTGGCCTTTGATGAACATTCCCAGACAAAGCCTGGGCACATGCTCGGGAATGGCAAAACAGATCCAGAGGGGCTGCTCAGGGCAGACCTGGGGAGAGACCACAGCACCCTGGACTGGGACAAAGACGAGGTTAATGCCTCCTCGCTGTCTCCGGGGGAAGTGAAGGCGTGTCCTGGCCAGCTGGTAAGTGCCTCTCTCAGCGACTGTGGGCGCCCGTTACCTGCACCCCATTCCCTGCTCCTTGAGGTGCCCGGCTGATCCTGAGGTTGGGATGCTGCTCGCTCTTCTCTTTACCCTAAACTCCTGTTCACCCTCAAGACCTCTGGTCCTTGTTATTTGGTTGTGGAGGACTCCAGGCTCTGCCATGCCCACATGTGGGGGCTTACGGAGCCTTGGGAGCAGCCCCATCCCTGCAGCCGTTCTCCTGGTGCTTCCCCCCATCCCTGTGGCTGTTCTCCTGCTTCCCACATCCCCACTGTTGCAAGGCAGAGCCTGATGAGCTCATTGATTTCTACAAGAAAAAGGCAGAGGGTAAATTTTGCAGCTCAGCAAGAACTGCTGGATTTCACTGGGATTGTGTTTTCTGGTTCTTTTCAAGTCTTTTCCTGGTGTTTTTTGTTGCTGTCGCAGGCTCATAAACAGAATGTGCAATTATTTATCCCAGGCACTGATTTAAAACCTTCCTCTCCCCATAACTCAGCCCTCCCTTAGCAAAACCCACAGGGCTGAGAGCTGGGATGGGGCTGCTGCCTCTTCTTTCTCAGGGTTTTGGAATTCTTCCCAGCAGCAGAGGCAGAAGCCCGACACAGCCCAGCCCTGCACGTGGTGTGGGGATACCAATCTGCACCCCACCTGCAGCCAGGATCTGTTCCAGAAAAACATCTTCTGTCTCTTGATTCCCTTTGGAGCAGGGAAGCACGTGGCTCCAGCTCAGCCCTGTGGCACAGGGCTGGGAGCACCATCCCTCCCTGGGACAAGCCTGGCAGCCCCTGCAGTCGTGGGGGGCAAAAAGAATTTGCTGTCACATAATGAGTCTTTGTGTGTGTGAGGGTTGGCAGAAAGGGTTTTCTGAAGCTTTTTTCTTGGAGCTTTCTTGGCATCCCCAGAGAAGGCTGGCAGTGGCACATGGCTCCTGTCCAGGCCTGGAAATGCCCTGGGGTGCAGTGCCCAGGGGCACGGGATGGGCATGGGATGGGTACTTGTTGTCCCCAAGCGTGAAGTGTCTCTCCTTGTCCGTGCAGTCAGTGGCTGAAGGAAAGGGCATCCTTGGGCAGGGTTTTGACTGAACAGGTGCCAAGAGAAGCTGTGCCCGCTGCTGGTTTGTTTTCAGTGTCTGCTGCCACCTGCTCTGTGCCCACTGGGCCCGTCTGCCCATGCCCTGAGCCCCCTCAGCTTTGGGGTGCTCTGCTCTTGGGGTACCCACAAGATCAGCCTGGCCCTGGTGGGGTTTCAGCAGCCCTGGGCTCTCGAGGATGAGCCAGGAGGGTGTCCTGGCCCCCGGCTCTGTGCTGTGGTGGTCTGTGCCTGAGCGCAGAGGTGCCAGTGTGTTGTGGTGACAATTCTCTGGAGACCCCAGCGTCCTGGAACGGGACAGCAAAGCCCAGAAAACCAAACTGGGCACTGGTGGGCCTGCAGAGACCCTTGGGCCTGTCACCTCCTACTCCAGGGCTGAACGCTTGGAGCCATTGTGGGATTTGACTGTTGGCACCCAGAGCAGAGCTACCATGTCCCTGTCCTGTGTCCCAGTCAGTGCCTGTGCCATGTCCCCAGCTCTGCACGAGAAGCTGCAGTAGACAGGGTTTCCCTCCAGATTTGGGTGTGGAAAACTTGGTACATGAATGGCCCATCCCTCCGTGAGTGAGGGGAGGCTGGTGTGGATTCATCACAGGGGTTTCAGCTTGCAGAGGCCTGCCCTTGCAGGGAGCCAGTGCTGCACCTGACGAGATTCCTCTGTCCTGGGAATTAATTCCAGCCCTCAGCCAGAATTAGGGCTGGGATCCTCCCCAGACAACAGCTGTCACCAGGACTTTGTGCAAAAATACCCAAGTAGCTCAAAGGCAGTTTATTACGTGGCATTTCCTTGTGGCAGCCCGAGGAGGAGGTGTCCCTGCTGCCTGAGGTCGTGTTTTGGGTGCTGAGTGTGTGTCAGTGGCAGGTGCCACCCTCGCCCCCGCCAGGTGTGTGTGTCTGTGTGTCTGTACATGTGTGTGCAGGAGCACACGTGTGCTGCCAGCCCTCCCCTGCCGCTCCTGGGCGTTTGGCCATGGGAGCCTCCCTGCTCCTGCTAATAATAAGAACTGCTGCAATTCCTTGGGCTGTTCTGGCGCCTGCCTTGGGGGCAGAGGATTAATGTCCCAGGATTAATGTCCCAGGATTAATGTCCCAGCCGGGCTCCAGCAGCTCAGTGCTATTCCCAGGGGAAGGAAAAGATGCCTGGTGAGCGATCTGCTTATGCCCCCTTTTGTACTTAAAAATGCAGCCTGATTTATATTTCTTTTTCTCTTCAACATGCTTGAGTGAGAACTGGAGCACAGCAGCAGGTTTTTGCTGGAATTCTGTCCTGTGTGGGAGCCTCTGTAGACACTCACAGATATTTACTCTTGGGTGCTTGCTTATTATTACCAGAGTTAAAATCAGATGGCTATATGGGTCTCAAAACCCCCCAATTTCTTTCCGTATCACTTGAGTCTATTTATGATTTGTGTAATTTGTCTATAGTATCTCAAAAATGTCACCCCATCAGTTATGCTCTTTTAAATGCATTTAAATAGCTCTTCCCCCATACTAAGCACATCCCCAGGGCTCTGTTGAACACCCCAAGCTTTCTGGCTCCCAGCTCTGGGCTTACAGACCTGTGGAAGTCTCAGGGAATGGGGCAGGAACCCCCCCAGCTGGCACAGCAGAAATTCCCCAAAACCATCAACTGATTTTTTTCAGTAATGTTGTCTCTTGTTCAGTAAAACTGGGGTGTTTGGCCAGTCTATGAGGGCCAGTCAGCTGAAAAGTTTGTTTGGCTTTTGTGTGTGCGCTAAATCAATCTGTGTTTGTAAATTCTCTCACTGGTGTTTGCAAACTGGAGCATCCTGTGAGGGAAAAGCACAGACTCAGCCCGTGCCAGGACCCCCCACGGGACAGGGAGTGTGGGGGGCTTCTTGCAGCCCTGGATGATGCCAGGAACCCTCGGGTTGTTTCTGGGAGCTCAGTGGACATCTGGGCTAAGGAAAAGTGTCACTGGTATTGGAGGGCAAAGCATCAGCAGGACACAAGTGCCACCAGTGCTGGGAGGGGCGACATCCTGCTGCGCTGCCTCAGCCCTCTGGAAGGGCCGTGCTGAGGGAATACCGTGGGACCAACTGGCTGCTTCAGTGCTGTGGGATGGAGGGGTTGATGCCTTTGGCCCCAGAAGGCCCTTCTGGGTGCTGCCCAGCTCTCGGGAGCGCTCCCCTGCTCACCCGAGCGCTTCCTTCTGCCGCAGGAGCAGGAGCCGGCACGTGGGGATTAAGTAATTGCCTAATTGCCCATCCCGGAGGAAGCTTCCCCACAGCGCTGGGTCTGCAGTGCAGCCTGAGGCCCGCGGGCATCCCAACAGCGTCCCGCCCCCTCCCTCCAGGCAGCGTCCATCCCAGTGCACCCCACCTGTCTGCTGCTGGAGATTGGAGCATTACTTTGGGGTTATTTTAAATGAGGAATGTTTTAAGGGAGAAGCAGTGGTGGTAGGCTGGCAGTGAGCTCACTGGTGGCATGGGGCGGCTGTGGGACAGTGGGAGCTGGGGAATGTTTTCTGCTGCCCTTTGGCATTCACGTCTCTCGGTTGGCTTCTTGTGCTCTGGCCGCGGCGGTGCCTCTCCAGTGCAGGGACCCCGCAGAGACATTTGGCCTCTTGGGCTGGAGCCCAGTGCCGGGGTGTGAGCAGGACCCGAGCCCCAGCCCTGGGCTGCAGTGGGGCTCCGGGGGCTTCCATGTGCTGGACTTTCCCGGGCAGAGCCCCGCAGCCCCTTGCCCGGGGGCACATCGGGGGGTTCAGCCCTGCCCTTGGTCTCTCCGCCTCCCCGGTGCCGCTCCCCTGGGCAGCGGGTTTCTCGTGTTCTCCCCCGTCCCTCCACCGCCCTCGTGGTGTCACAGCCCCAGCACTGCCAGCCCCCGCCTCGCGTCCGTCGTCGGGAGAAGAAAAGGGTCCCTGTTCCCGCTATGCTAATGGGGAAACGCCGGCTCCGCGGGAGCTGCGCCCTTCCCGACCTCGGGAAATGCCTGCGCACAGCGGCGAGTGGAAAATCCCCGCGTGCCCACGGCCGGGGGGCTGCCGGGGGTGTCCCCCGCTCACACCCCTGCAGACACCCCTCGGGTCCAGCCTGGGACCGGCCCCGGGAGCGGTGCCAGCGGCGGGTTCTGTGACCGACGGGGACACTGCCCGGCCGGCCTCTGTCACTGATACTGTGCAACAGCCGGGACAGCAGTAGCTCATGGCTGGACAGGAATAGCTCCGGCCGCGGGGACATGGGATCCTCCAGGGAATGATCTGTTGTGGGGGGACGCTGTACCTGTCCTCTGAAATGCCATC